GGCATAACCCTACTTCCCTAAGCTTTCTTTCCCTCAAGCTTGTACCAAGTTCCTCTAACTTTTAATCTCTGAAGAGGTTTAAAAGTAATCCTAGATGGTCTCGATCTCTTGACCTCGTGATCCACCCGCCTCGGCCTCCCAAAGTGCTGGGATTACAGGCTTGAGCCACCGCGCCTGGCCAGGTCCTTATTTTTACACTTTGTTCTGAGGTACACAAGCAACCTCAGGGATAATTTGACAGCAGCTCCAGGTCGTCACAGTAGGAACACTTTTTGTTGTTAAATTATCACAACTACTTGGAGTATATAGCCTATTGGACTATCTCATTTTTGTCAGTAAGCACTGGCTTTTCTACTACAACGTCTTCTTAGACTCCTCCAGCTTGATGTTTCTTAGGGTACTTGGTTTTAGTTGATTTGCCCCATGACTTGATCACCTTTTACTGGAAGGTTGGACATGAGTAATAGGAAGGTGGTGGAGAGAGGTTAGAGCCTAAGCCAGGTGAAAGGCCTAGAGAGGAAGACAAGGTTACATGAAGTTGTCTGTACACTTAATAAAGGATTCCCATTCCAAGCCTCTAATTGTAGAGTACTAGACTTGCTTTCACACCAGATCCATCCTTCACTGAGATTAAACTAAATCTACCACACATATTGAGATGTGTGTGTGTGTGTGTGTGTGTGTGTGTGTGTGTGTGTGTGAAAGTATGAGCTGGTAAGCATAAGTTTTTAGAATGAAATGTCTATACACATCTATGTTGCCCAGGGATAAATGAAGCAAGGACAAAAATCCTTAATTTTTCCAGCCAGGTGTGGTGGTATGTGCCTGTAGTCTTAGCTACTTGGGAGGTTGAGCTGGGAGGATCACTTTACTCCAGGAGTTCAAGGCTGCAGTGAAACATGATCATACCACTGCACACCAGCCTGGGTGACACAGTGAGATCCTTACTCTAAAAAAATAAAATAAAATAAAATAAAAAATCCTTCACTTTTGAAAAGTCTGGACTTAGAGACCCAGACCCATTACCAAGGGCTTTTTTTTTTTTTTTTTTTTAAATGGTATCTGGAGTCACTGTCCTGCTTTGTTGCAGTAGTGACTGAAGAGTCATAGTAGCTAAAGAAAAAGGGAGTTTCATTTACCTGCTGTAAGAGCACTATAAACTTACATCATTTTGTTCAAACAGCGTAAATACAATAGAATGAACGTACCAGGTGACATGTGGCTCATCCTGGATGGGAGACTAAGAAAAGGAAGATAAATGTATTCAAGTCACTCAGGAGCTTTTATATAAGTGCAAAAACTGTACATCAAAGGGGCCACAAAATTGATTAATAAGAGGTGGAGAAATGTAGCTCTATGTTTACTGACAGAAACCAAAGCTATGTGCAAAAGCCTGAATTCATGAAGAGAGGGAAGGACAGAAGGTAGGCTGAGTTTGTACCTGTCTATTCTTTTCTTGATCCCTTCCCCACCTTCCTGAACTTCAGGAGACTGAGCTCCCTTGGGTTCTGATGACTTTATCACTGGGGTGTGTTTATTTGATGGTCGATTTGCTGTACTGGGCACTTGTTTTCTGTTGTACTGCTATAACACACACTGTTCCTTTCCCCCTCTTTTTCTTTTTTTCCAAGAAAATACAATGAATAAATAATTGTTGGTATGGGGAAAAAAACAAAAACAAAAGAAGAAGAAGAAGACACATAATTATAAACATAAACATATCTAACAGGAGAGGCCCAAAATACATAAAACAAAAACTGGCAGAATTGGAAAGGAGAGATAGAAAATTCAACTATAATAGTTGGAAACTTCAATTCCCTGTATTCAATAATGAATAGAAAACTAGATAGAAAATCACCAAGGAAACAGAAAATTTGAACAAAACTATATACCAACTAGACTTAACAGATATCTATAGAACCCTCCCACATCAACAGCAGAATACACATTCCTCTCAAGTGCACATAAAATATTTGGCAGGATAGACAACATGTTGGG